CATTAATATTAATTTATGTCGTCTTTTTTTTTTTTTTAATACTAAGTATTAAAATTTTATGTTAAAATCTTTGGTATTTATTTTTTAAATAGCACTCCATTTATTTGTGTTAAATGCCACGTGGTTATACTAATAAATGTAAAAATGGTATAATAATGTGAAATGTATTATCTTTTTAATAAATGAGTCCTTAATTAGTAAAAAAAAATGAGGTAATTATTTCCATTTAATTTCAAATAAGCTAATTAATTCTCTTCTTAACTAAATTAAATGGCCATATATTTTCTTTTTAATTTCAAATATATTCAAATAAATACATTACCTTTAAAAAAAAATAAAATCTTCTCCAATATTAGGTTCATAGTTTAATTTCTCCAAAAATTGCCTCCTTTTTATCGATATATCAGTGTTTTCCATGTAATGTTGAGATCAAATCCAAGCTGTGTGTGTTTTTTTTTTGCCTCTTGCCTTTTGAAATGTTGAAGATTTCTCTTCCTTTGTGCCTTGTGTTCCTTCTTTTGCTAGCAATAAGTAAGTGCATGGATTAATATTTTCTCTTTCCTTTAGTTATCTCCGAATTTGGATGTGATATCATACGTGGGTTGGGGAGGAAAACGAAAAATTCTTTGTAAGGGTGTGGAAATCTCTTCTTAGGAGATGCATTTTAAAAACTTTGAGGGGAAGTCCAAAGAGGACATCGGCTAGTGGTGGGCTTGGATAATTACAAATGGTATTAGAGCCAGACAACTGGGTGATATGCTTTTGAGGAGGCTGAGCCCTGAAGGGGGTAGGCACGAGATGGTGTGTCAACAAGGACGTTGAGCCCTGAAGGAGGGTGGATTGGGGGTCCCACATCGATTGGAGAAGGAAAACGAGTTCTAGAAAGGATGTTGAGCCCTGAAAAGGGGTGGATTGGGAGATCCCATATCTATTGGGGAGGAAAATGAAACACCCTCTATAAAGGTATGGAAACCTCTCTTTAGCATCGTTGGCCCCCAAAGGGAGTGGATTGTGAGATCTCACATCGATTGGGGAAGAAAATGAAACATTTTTTTTAAAAGGGTGTGGAAATCTCTCCACGAGGCGGATTGTGAGATCTTATATCGGTTGGGGGGAAATGAAACATCATTTATAATGGTGTGAAAATCTCTCCACGAGGCGGATTGTATAAAGGGTGTGGAAAATCTATGTGAAACACCATTTATAAGGGTGTGAAAAGTGAAAGCCCTCCCTCTTAATAAGAGTATGTAAATCTCTCTCTAACATACACTTTTAAAACTATTGATGTGAAACTGGAAAGTTCAAATAGGACAACATCGGGTAGCGGTGGGCTTGGGCTCGGAAACCTGAAAGGGAAAGTCAAAACAGGACAATATCTAGTAGCGGTGGGCTTGGGCTCTTACACTAGAAGGGTCGAATCTTCCATCGGAAGGAAAGAAATAGGTGTCTATTCCACGTAGCTATGCTTAAATTGTCATGGATTGAATTCTTGATCTAACCAACTCTTCTTTCCCTTTTTTTGTTAACCGTTACATGATTATATTGTTATTCTCATCGAGTTTTCATAAGCTAACGAGATTTCAAATTTGATGGTGAGGGGACAGACAAGAAGCTAGGAGTAAAGAGCGACGACTTATGTGCCGAAGGGCTAGGAGAGTGCGGAAGCGACTGCGACCAAAGGTGCAAAGCCAGGCACATCCCAACCGAGAACCCGCAAGGCAGCTGCAACCGCCTCGGCAACGAGGCGTTGTGTGAGTGTCTTTATAGTTGTCGTATGACACCACCACCAGGAAAGGTTTGCCAAGATGGCCTAGGGCAGTGTAGCGCCAAATGCAACAACGATTGCTGTAGTGCTAAATGTGCGTCTAAGCACAATGGAGGACAGGGCTACTGCGACACCAACGTTGGGATTCGTTTGTGCCAATGCAGCTATCCTTGCTGATGCTTGCGATGTGTCTTGAATTATGTACCTTAAATTTATAAACATATTATAAACTAAGCTTTGATTCTCGTGTCTTTTGGTTGTTGACATTGAAACTCTTCTCGATAATGCAACGTAAAGTTGCCCAATACATATAGATTTCTAACGCTTGAAACTATTCGTCCTTGTTTTTTGTGACATCGTAAAGCATAATCGGACACAAAATTGAATGGACACTCTTTAATATTTGGTGTTAGTTAGACTATTGTTGTTTCGAGAACTAAAAAAATGTATACCACCAGAAAATGTGCGATCTTGAAGCAACAAGAATGACACAGAGAGACAAGTTGATATCATGAGATTTGATGGTTACTATGATCATATGATCATTAGATGATGCACTATTTAGAGTTACTAAGATCGTTGATTTACATCATACACCCAAAACATTGATTTCCAAGGATGTTGATTCACATCATACAAGGCTCGACTCCTTTCAAATTCTTTGTTTGATATTTGAGGATTCTATTGTCATGGGTAAGTTTAGGGCAGGACTCTGATCCCATGTTAGGGATCACAAATCTTCACAATGGTATGATAATATCATGTTTGAGCACAAATTCTCATGCTTTGCTTTGGGCTTCCCCAAAAGGTCTCATACTATTGGAGATGTATTCCCTCACGGATCTCCATAATGATATGATAATACCCTGTTTGAGCACAAGCTCTCATGACTTTGCTTTGGGTTTCCCCAAGAGGTCTCGTTCTATTGGAGATGTATTCCCTCACTTATAAACCCTCGATCATTCCCTAAATTAATTAATGTGAGACACACTCCCAACAATCCTCAACGATGATTACACTAATCTGTTCTTTGTGGGAAACACTCGCACTGCACTTTTTATTAACACTAATCAAGAAAAAATTACAAGACACTTTTTTAGAATACTACTGCTTTGTACTTCTTGGGATGAAAACTTAGGTAGGGTGGAGGGGTATTTATATAAGAGCCTATGCAATTTACTCCTACAAATCTGAATCTTCTCCCTAAAATATCTAGATCGTTTTCCTAAAATATCTAGCTATCTTTATTACTTAAATCATTTTACTAAAATAAATATAAATCCGCTCATACAATTATTGAGCTTTACTCTGCTCGACTAATGATGATATTTTAACAGAAGATTCAAAAGATGACGCCGTCCTTTTTAGGGAAACATTCTTTCAATAACACCTCCATTGTCTCAAAATTAAGGTTGAGATAGCCTCAAGTCTACTCGTCATCCCTTTATTTCTAGAATTACTCGAGTCACTTAGCATTCGAGGGTTGACACAACAGACAAGCATTCATTCTCCGTTTCTTATCAGGTTACTCCTTATCTATTAGTTTCTAATATGACCACACTTGTGGTGAATATTATTTACTGATCACCAATTCTAAGTATTATCGTTCTCTTGTGAACATCCACCAATGTTTTAGCAGTTTTTTAAGAATGGTCTATCTAAGATTATCTCTTTATGTTAAATTGGGTTGATCTGTGAGGATAATATTGGGACCATCAAATACCAAATCTAGATTCTAAATTATTATCCGATAATATTAGATCCATTATCCGATAATATTAGATCCATTATGTGAAAAGGTAAAGGTGTTCCGAGTAGAGAAATAGACCCAAAAATTTGTTGTTCAAAGCATTTATTAAAAAAAAAAAAAAAAAAAAAACCATTATCTCATCCACCTGAGGCGGCGGCGGTGGCAGTGGCAGTGGCGGAATCGGTTTCAATAGATGGTGGAATATGAAGGGATCTACGGCGGCCCAAAAAAACACTTATATTGCCAAAAAAAAAAAAAAACTAGCTTCTGAGTTTGTTCTGGGCTCGGTGAAAGTCGAGAAAATAAACCAAGTTTTGATTTAATTTGATTATTTGAATTAGATTCAGTCAGATTCTTGTTATGCTATATATAGATAATAGGTAATTTTATTCTTGAACAGAATGCTTAACACTTTGTTGCTACAGTGGATGTAGGGAAACTTCTTCTCTCCCAACCACGTAAATATCTTTGTGTCTTTTTGTGTAATTTCGTTTATTGGTGTGGTGTTGTGAATACATTTGATTCGCTTTCGGCACACTGCTAGACTCTTCTTCTAGGTTATCGCCTCCGTGGCTTGATTCTTGAACCGCCGTGGCCTAGCGGCAGTTGTGGTGGTGATATTGGCGGACCGGCTCAATCTCTTGTAATTGCTCATCGTTTTTTTTTTAATTTAATTTATGGTTTTTTTTTCCTTCCTTATGTTCATTCAAAAATATATATATATATATATTGAATGAAATGGGTTTATTTTATTTTACTTGATTTTTTTTAATTTCAAAAATATATATTTTTTATTATTATTATTATTTTTTTTTGTGAAAACTTAAAAAGTAAAAAACACACTTTTAAATTATTTTGTAAAAGATTTAAAAATATACTCACAATTAGAGATATGGTTTAAAAATATTGATGAAATTTCAAAAGTAATATTAAAATGTACGGAGATAATTTCGAATATATATTGACAGTAATTTTTTAAAAATTTTATTTTTATAAATTTAAAAGATGTTAATACTATTTTAAAATTTTTAAGAGTTCTCTAAATATAGTGCTGAAGATAAGAGTGTTTTTAATTTTTTTTTTTAAAAGTTAAAGAGTATTAATAAAAAAAATTTAAAATTTAAGAATTAAATATCATTACAAATTCAAAAATATTATTAAAATAAAACACTATAGGTTTCTATCCAAAATATATAATAGTTTTTTTTTCTTATTTTTTTTAGAAAAGGTATAAAATTTAAGAGTATTTTTATTGTGAAAATAAATTTAAATCAACCCAACATTGATTAGGTGGAAAATAATGGATGGATTAGAATATAAATGTATGTAAAATAATTAATGAGAAAATAATTAAATATTTAAAGTAAAGTTTATGGGCTAAAAATATATTAAATTAAATGTTAAATGGATAATAATAGATGTAAGAAACTTTGAAAATTAAATGAAATGAACAATTAATTCGGTATATATTTGACGATTACGAAGTAAACAGAACTGCCCAAATTCAAAACCATACATTATGAGAATCATTACAACACAAAACCATTACTGTAAAATAAAATCTTAACTGCTCCCAAAGCACCACAGACAACACATCGACACTAAACTAGGCCGACAACACACGGCGAAGCACAGCCTCTTCCTCACCCACATCGGAGGCGGCGGCGGCCTCCTTCCAGCACTGCAGCAGCAGCAGCGACTTGCACGGTGGGAGCTCGGCGCACCTTCTTCTTCTATCCACTGTGTACGTACGGTAAACTAGCCACTCGCCACCTGGCAGCTCCTGCTTCACCATGTTATCACACGTGTACCCCTCCACGTCCGCATCGTCAACAGACCACGTGTGGGAGCCGCCGCCGCTGCTCGACGTGATGGCGATCGAGAATTCCGCCGGAGAAAAGCACCGGAGCGCCCTGCTTACCAGATGCGAGAAAGGAAGCTCCGCCACATCGAAGCCCATCGCCTCGTAGCTGGCGTAACTGAAACCATCCTCTGGAGTCACGTGCACAGTAGAGTACGCTGCACCTTCGATCCCGTTCATGGAGTATCCACACGGATCAAATTCAAAATCGCAGATGGCATGATTCGGAATTATCTCAGAGATTCCGGACATTTTCGTCATTTTCTCCGCCGATGAGTTGCCTCCAGATTTTTTGAAAAACACCGCGGCCTTTTCTCTGTTCAAACCCGTCATACACATTTCCAGAGTAATCATATCCGTACGATTCACGGTCGTACGCGATTTTACGGCTGAGTAGATGTGCCAGTTGCGATTCGGAACAGCCGGATCGCCGATCACGTACGCCTCGGAGTAGAAATCACCAAAGTAGACATTAAGTGCGGTAACTTCCTCGGAGAAGCTACGGTGAGGAGCAGGTTGATTGTTGGGGAAGATGAAGGTTCCGCGGGAGTATTTCACGGCGACAGCGGAGAGTTTGATCGAATCAGCAAGTTCGAGAATCATCGGAATGGAGAGGAGAAGCTTGGTGGTGCCGCAAGTTTTGAGGATGATCGTATGTGGATAAACGAAGAGACTCGATTCGGAGAGGACGTAAGAATCGAAATCGGAGTTAGAGAGATGAGATACGATAGTGCAGAATGCAGGTTCAAGGATTGAATCGAGTTGAGATCGAGTCAAAGCTCGGAGACCAAGTCCTTCAGAGTCCTGAAAAATAGGCAGTTTTGCGAATGTGATTTCCAGGCGTTTTTCGAAGCCTTCGAAACCGATTGGAGAAGGAGATTGTTGCGGAGCCGCAGATGCCTCTAGGAGTTTGGTGAACACAGTCATGGTTGGAGAGAAAATCAAAGCCTCTCTAAATTACAGGAAAATCAACGAAAGCAAGCGAAAGAAATTCAGAAGGTTTCAGTTCTCAGAATGCACAAGAAATTAGCCCCAATTACAATAGAAAAAACAAATTCGAAACCAGAACTCGTAATCTACAGAGACAGAAGGTATCAGGATGGTTTCCTCACGCACTGCCAGAAAATCAACAAGAAAAACACAATTACAACGCAAGAACTCACAAAACTACTCAAGAACTCGAAGAAGAAATCGAAGAACAATCTTACGTTGGAATACGCAGCAGATCGGAACTTCTCAATACCACCGTGTGGACGAACGTCTTCAATAATGTAACCAAGAGGAGCTTCGTATTGTTGCCTTCTACTATTATCGCTACTGCCACTGCTAGACTTCTTACCGCGTTTCGCCTCCATTACAACATCAACGCTTCTTCTCTGCAACCAAAACAGAAAAACAGAGAACGAAACAACCAAATTCACAATCAGATACTCCACATCGCAGTACAGATAAAAAATCTCAAAGAAGCTCAGAAATACCTTTCCAAGAAGAAAAGAAACGGCAAAAAAAAAAAAAAAAAAAAAAACAAAATGGAAATCAAACACCACAAGTAACAAAGAGCCCTAACCTCAGATACTTATAAAATCTTCGTCAATGGCGGAATAAATATAGGGAGAAACCAAGAATTCCTCTGAAATTTTCCCAACAAAGAAAGAGGATTGACAACCACAAGAAAATTGGGAGAGATAATAACGGAAGATGCAGAGGGAATGGAGGATTTGGTTCTTGTGAGAAAGGGAGGGAATCTAGAGAGGCTATTTATAGAGAAAAAGAGGAAGGTATCAAGTTTATGCAAAACTGTACCTCACACTATTGAGGACATATTCTATTTATATTGGCAAAAGATTAACTAATAGATCCGATTTCATAGGAAACTAACGAAGTAAGCCTATTCTTATGGCATGACTAACTTCAAGCTATTCTAATGGATTGACCAATTCTAACAGTCCCCTTCAATCCCAACAAGTCTTGTACATGTTGAGATTGTTACAATGTGTAGTAAAAGGAGTTTTAGACAGTGGTTTTGTCAGGATATCAGCTACTTGATCACTTGATGAAATGAACCGAACTTCCATTGCTTTACGTGCTACTTGTTCTCGAACAAAATGAAAATCAACTTCAATATGTTTCGTTCTAGCATGAAATACTGGATTTGAAGTTAAATATGTAGCTCCGAGGTTGTCACACCAGAGGCGAGGAGCCTTTGATTGATACACGCCCAGTTCCTTCAGTAATGACTTGATCCAAATCATTTCTGCAGTAAGATTCGCAATGGCCTTGTATTCTGCTTCGGTGCTTGATCTTGACACTGTAGCCTGTTTTCTGGAACTCCATGAGATTAGATTTGCTCCAAGAAATACAGCAAAGCCGCTAGTTGAACGTCGATCATCGGGACAACCAGCCCAATCAGCATCAGAAAACCCCGACAACATCATGGTTGATTTCTGAATTTTCACTCCTAATGCTAGTGTGCCTTTAACATAACGAAGAATTCTCTTCACAGCACCCCAATGAGCATCAGTAGGTGTATGAAGATATTGACACACTTTATTGACAGCAAATGCCAAATCAGGCCTAGTCATTGTCAAATATTGTAGTGCTCCCACTGTACTTCTGTATTTGAATTGTTCTTCAGCTGATAAGGGTATTCCTTGTTCTCTGAATAATTTTTCAGCAGAACCCATTGGTGTAGACATAGGTTTGCATTTTTCCATGTTTACTCTTTTCAACAAATCTAAAGCATATCGTCTCTGTGACAGTATGATACCATCTCGTGTTTTCTTGACTTCAATACCCAGAAAATACTCAAGATCACCCAAATCTTTTACTGCAAAATCTATTTTCAATTTCTGAATCAACCTTTCGGTTGCTTGATCAGAGGAGCTCACAATAATTATATCATCAACATAGATGAGCATATAGATAGTTATCTCTCTGTTTTTGAGAATAAAAAGAGATGAATCAGCTACTGAAGCCTTGAAGCCTAACTCAATAAGCTTTCCAGTCAACCTTGAATGCCAAGCTTTTGGGGCTTGTTTCAGGCCATAAAGGGCTTTCTTGAGCTTGCATATGTAATTCTTTGGTTTGGCTGAGTCTTGAAATCCTGGTGGTTGTCGCATGTACACTTCCTCTTTCAGAATTCCATGCAAAAATGCATTTTGGATATCAACTTGTCTCATATTCCAGCCCTTGGTTACTGCTAGCGAAAGAATGACCCTGATTGTTGACGGTTTGATCACAGGGCTAAAAGTATCAGTGTAATCAACACCAAATCTTTGCTTGAATCCTTTGGCAACTAATCTTGCTTTTAATCTTTCAACTGACCCATCTGCTTTTCTTTTCACTTTATACACCCATTTACTATCAATGAGATTTATTCCAGGTTTGGGTGGAACTAGATCCCAAGTGGCATTTCGTTTTAGCGCTGAGAGCTCATCATTCATTGCTCCTCTCCATCTTGGATGTTGCATGGCTTCCTGCAGGTTTCGAGGTTCAGTAGCAGTCTCTATGATCGGAGTTGTGATAGTTACAGCGCTTGCGAATTTTCTTGAGGTTTCTGAATATCTGATAGTTCCATCAGTGAATTGTTTAGCTTGTACAATGTTATTTCTCAACCTTGTTCGCATTGGATGTTGACTAGCTGCTTCAGTTGGTTGATCAGACACATGTTCATGAGTTTGGTTTTGAGCATTGATCGAACTGCTCTCAGCTTCATATTCTGCAATTTCCTCTGAACTTCTTGTATTATCTGCAGAAGATAAGCTGACACCAGACAAGTTGTCACTAGCAATATTATCAGTTTGACCATCATTCATATGGGAATTACTAACAACTGGTTCAATATCTGTAAGAGCATTTTCAGTGTAAAAACTAGCAAGTTTGGCTAAGGCTGGAAGTAGAACAGGGTGATGTGGATTTGTGGTTTTGTTTGGTGGCTTAGATTCTTCAAAAGGAAAAATATTTTCATCGAAAACCACGTCTCTAGAGATGTAAATACGTCCTGTACTTCTATTTAAGCATTTATATCCCTTATGAGAAGAACTATAACCCAAGAATATACATCTAGTAGTTCTGAAACTCAGTTTCTTGTTGTTGTAAGGCCTTAAATTAGGCCAGCAAGCACAGCCAAACACCCTAAGCATGGAGTAGTCTGGACTTTTACCAAACAATTTATGAAGTGGTGTGTCTTGTTGTATGGTTCGGCTGGGCATTCTATTTATAAGAAAGCAAGCTGTGTTGAAAGCTTCATCCCAGTAGGATAGAGGCATGTTGGCTTGAGCGAGTAAAGCAAGGCCAGTTTCTACAATGTGTCTGTGTTTTCTTTCGACTAACCCATTCTGCTGGTGTGTGTGAGGACAGGAGATATGATGTTCAATGCCTGTGGATTTGAAATAATTGTGTAACCGATGGTATTCACCCCCCCAATCTGATTGGACGGAGCGAATTTTGGTATTTAGCATAGTTTCAACATGTTTTTGAAATTGAAGGAACACAGACTCAACATCAGATTTGCATCTCAGAAAGTAAATCCAAACATAACGACTAAAATCATCAACAAAGGAAACATAATATTTGGAATTATTTACTGACGCAATGGATGGACCCCATACATCAGTGTGAATTAATTGAAGGGGTGCTGTAGATACATGCTGAGAAGAACCAAATGGCAATTGATGTGCTTTCCCTAATTGACAAGCATTACAAATTGAGGAAGAGGGAATATTAGTATCTATAGCTAAATTATTATCTTGTAGAATTCTAATGGTAATTGGAGATGCAGGGTGCCCTAGCCTTCTGTGCCATTGTTCTTTCGAAAGTTTGGCTGTCAGCAAGGCTTGACTGAAATTATGCGGTAGAACGTATAGGCCATTCTTACATCTACCGTGGAGCAGGAGTTTCTTCGTGACTCGGTTCTTAACCAAAAAATAGTTTGGGTGAAATTCTACAACAGCATTATTATCAGATGCTAGTCTTTGTACTGAAATTAGGTGCTTATTGATTTTAGGAGCATATAGGATATGTTTCAGAACAAGAGATGAACCAGAAATTAATGAATTCCCAATATGAGAGATAGACAAACCTGCGCCATTTGCAACCTGAATTTGGTCGGTGCCAGTGTAGCGTTCTCTGGTGGTAAGCCTCTCTAGGTCATTGGTGATATGATCTGTGGCTCCAGTGTCAACATACCAGTTTGTGTCACTAGTGTATCCACTAGTTGCCAAAGCTGCTTGTTTGAGATTATTTTCGGCTTGATATGCCTGATCAAATCTGTGCCAGCATTGCAAAGCATCGTGATTGGGCTTACCACAAATCTGACAGACAATGCCTGAGCTGCTTTGTGTCTTTGATGGTTGACGTCCAGGATTGTTCACAGTACGCCTTGATTGTCCATGACCACTATTTAACTGACGACTACGACCGCGACTACCTCGACCTCCATTGGCACCTCCACGAATGGATATCCTATTGACATTGTTAGCAGATGAAAGTTGCTCAAATGTACCCTTACGCAAGTGCCGCATCTCATAGCTCAGCATGTGAGCATACACGTCGCTGACAGTGTATACATCTGTTCTGGTTGTAATGCTTGTGACTAGAGGATCATAATCTGGACCAAGTCCTTGCAGCATGTAGGCGATGAGTTCTTCATCCTCTATTCGCTTGCCAATGGCAGCAAGTGTATCACCAAGATGTTTTACTTTACGAAAGTAGTCAGCAATTGTCATGTCCTTTTTCTGGATAGTAGAGAGTTCCATACGGATCTGCATTGCTCTTGCTCGAGATGTGGAAGCAAATTGTCGCTCCAGCGTAATCCAGGCTTCTCGTGCAGTGGTGATTCCAACCATCGTGCTGAGAACCTCCTCAGTGACTGATGAGTTGATGAGGCTGAGTACCAGCTGGTCCTGGGGGTACCAGACTGTGAACTCAGGGTTGATGATAATTTTGCGATTCCCTGTTTCTTCACTTGGTTCAACGGCGATCGTCTGGCTTGGTGCAGGCATGGATCCATCCACAAAACCAACAAGGTTTTGGCTACGCAAGTAGGGAAGGATTTGGGTAGACCACAGTAGATAATTTTCTTGTGTAAGCTTAACACTAATCACCTGACTGATCGACGGAGAAGACATTGTGTTGATTGGGATTGACATGTTTAACAGCAGAGGCTATGGATCTCGTGGATCTTATTTGAGCTCTGATACCATATCAAGTTTATGCAAAACTGTACCTCACACTATTGAGGACATATTCTATTTATATTGGCAAAAGATTAACTAATAGATCCGATTTCATAGGAAACTAACGAAGTAAGCCTATTCTTATGGCATGACTAACTTCAAGCTATTCTAATGGATTGACCAATTCTAACAGAAGGCACCCCTAAGGTTTCCGTCTTCTGGAAGCAGTGGCATTAGTGGAAAATGGGTACTGAATGGACGAAGGAATAAAAATTAATAATAATAATAATAATAATAAATATCTTTAAATTTTAATAAAATTGAAAAAGAAAATTAGAAAATACAATTATAATTAGTTTTAAAATGTTAAATTAGTTTAAATAATATAATTGTAATTTAAAAAATATTAATATTTAAATACTAGACTAAATACTAGAATATTAATATTTTATATAGCCCGTTAGGATTTTTTCCCTTATTTTTAAGATTTAGTTGATAGTATATTTGATATATTTTATCTTATGATTTAGTTAGTATAATATTTTTTCTTATTTTAGGATTTAGTTTGTAATTTGTATTCTATTT